CGGTCAGGCCCGCGAGGCGTGCATAGGCCAGGGCGAAAACCTAAGCTTTAGGGTTGAGGCTTTAGGGTTTAGGGTTGAGGGTTTAGGGTAAATCCTAACACTTGAGCTCCAAATTGCCCTACTTTGGAAACCCCGAACCCCTCAGCTCAGCTCCTAATGTCCAAATCAAGGCAGTATTTGTACACCCTAAACCCTTAATCCTACACCACTGCTTGTATACACGGAGCCCGTTGCATTTTCAGGAGTGTGACCTTGAGCTCTTCTGGCTTTCCTCAATTGGCAGAATTTGGCGGTTTATCTGGTTTAGGGCTTCGGATTTAGGGTTTAGGCTTTTAGGCTTTAGGGTTTGATAGCAGCTAGGGTTTGGGGCTTCAGCTCAAAAACCCGAATCCACAGTATCCGGCCGTCACGCAGGAAATCAAAGAGCCTGCGATCTCACGATCTTCGTGACCTGGGTCGGCCCCCCACACGTTTCCAGGGTTCAGTCAGGGCTCGATCCATAGCGACCCTCGAACTCTAGGCTGCGCAGACAGCCTTCCTAAAGCCCAACCCTAAACCCACAACCCTTGGTTTGGGCTCAGTTTTTGGGTAGTGTGAACAGGCTCAATCTACACTTCTTTGTGGGTCAGGGAGGCAGCAAGCAATCATCAAGCCTCTTGTAACTTCGAGACGTGAGGCTGGTGCAAGGTTGTAGAGCTTAGGGTGCCTAGCCTATCATTGAACGAGTTGATGAGACTCATGTTTCCAAAGGAGCTCACGGATTGGTATACGCATGAATGTCATCGAATACACTCGCTCAGAAGGTTGCATGTCAATAATGTGGAGTTCGCTGCAAGTTGCATTGAGTGGCTGTGGGTTTCGGGGAGGTTGTTGCGTAGAAGCCCCGAAAGACCAGAAGCCATACCAGGCGCCAATAGACAGAAATGCCACTTCTGGAGACCCCCTGAAGCCCGCCCCAACACAGCCCCCACCCAACCCTCCCCCCCTGTAGACTGTAGATCTTGGGATGTTCCCCTGATACTGGTACTATACTTGGGGGGGGTACGATAATCCCTACTTATGGCTGCTAGTATAAGGGGGAACATCCCAATATAGAGGGGTTTAGGTTTAGGGTTTAGGGTGTAGGGTGTAGGGTTTAGGGTTTAGGGTTTAGGGCTTGTTTTGCACAAGCCCTCCACAAGACTCCTAAGGCGGGCACCGACAAGCGAGGGCGCAACCTCGTCTCAGCCGGCACTCGGCTCTCCAAGTTGGCAGGCTCGGATCTTGAGCCAGCCAGTTGGCATTTACGGTTTAGGGGTTAGGGTTTAGGGTTTAGGGTTTAGGTAAACCCTAAACCTTATAAACCCTAAACCCATGACTCATAGCGTTTAGGCTTAGGGTATGGAGGGTTTAGGGGATGAGAGCTTTAGGGTATTTGCATGGTTTTAGGTTTGCGAGTGAATAGGTCACAGTCTAAAATCCCTGGGACTCCACTTACCTACAGTTGTTTGCTACGCCTACGACTGCTTGAGAGGACGTTACTGCAAAGCTTTGGGTAAATAGACACACAGTGAGGTGCAGGGCGCCCTACTGGGCCCCAGCTTAGAGCTTACCACCCGTCGTCTAACTTCGGCCCTGGTGCCTTCAGCACCCACCTGCGAAATGGAGGAAAGACCAACAAATCACGATGCTGCCGCACACCTCAATAGAGGTCATGATGAACATCAGACCGGTCAGGCCTGCAACTTGCGATGCTACACCCTAACGGCTAAGTCCTCTCAGCCCCAGCAGGCCCCAAAGCCCAGATACCCATATAGTTATTCTCTCCTCTTCTTTCCCTAAACCCTAAGCCCTACACCCTAAACCGCCTAAACCCTAAACTTCTGAAACGTTGGTGCTGCAGGCCCCACCCTGCGATCCTTGTTCGAGACGGTACGGGAAGGCTACGACGCCACTGCACAGGCTCGATTGCCTCGGTCCAGTGATTTAGGGTTTAGGGTTTAGGGTTTAGGGTTTAGGGTTTAGGGTTTAGGGTTCAGGGCTTACAGTCCCGGAGTGTCCTCGGTCGTCCAGGGATTTAGGGCTGCAATATTGGGGTTGAGGGTTACTTGTAAGGGGGCTCTCATCCCATGGTCCACCGCTTCAAAGGGCCTTTAGAACAACCACCCGAACCAGCCCAACAACCCTCACATGGCCTGTTTCAAGAACGAACTCGGAGATTGGCAGAGTAGCAGGGCTCCATCCGGCTATACGAGAATACACACTTTGGGGTCGAAAGGCTGCAAGCAAGACCTCCCTTTGCTCTGGAGCCCCTGGGTAGATGTATGGAGTGGTGGGTTTCGGGTTTCCGGCGCAGGCCGTCTCATCAGTTTCGTCGCGCTGACGGAAGCCTGCCAGCTGAGTGCAAGCGGCAACTACACGATGGCAGCTGCCCCCATTGCACGCAAATCACTTGTGTGCATGCTGAGTCTGAACAGGTGCTCGCGTTGTACAGGACTGCGAGCAAAGCCGGCTCAGACAGTGGTGCGAGATGCGCGCAAAAAGATTGCGGGATAGTCAGGCTCACCAGCGTTCGCAGTTTTACTGGTGCCTATCATATGCCCTAAACCCTAAACCCTAAACCCTAAACCCTAAACCCTAAACCCTAAACCCTAAACCCTAAACCCTAAACCCTAAACCGTAAACCCTAAACCCTAAACCCTAAACCCTAAACCCTAAACCCTAAACCCTAAACCCTAAACCCTAAACCCTAAACCGAGACAGGAATACGCGGTTATGCTGATGGGTCTAGGAGTCCGCAAGTCAGATGCCAGCCTCTGCAGAAGAGCAAGCGGTCGACCAGGGATCTACAGGATGTGAGGATTTAGGGTTTAGGGTTTAGGGTTTAGGGTTTAGGGTTTAGGGTTTAGGGTTTAGGGTTTAGAGTCTAGGGTGGTATGAGCTACTTTGCTAGCCGGCTAGTTATATTTAGCCTTCAACTCTATAGACTCTATGGGGGAGCAAGGTAATACGGTCGCCCTAAACCCGACACCTCCTGAATTGCCGACTGGGCTCTCCGGATTTTCTTTACTGGCGCCCCAAGAGGCAACGGTACTTTTCGAGAGCTCCTTTAAACCCTGAACCTCTAAGCTGACATCTCTCAACCTCTACAGCCTAAATCCTATGCCCTAAACCCCTAAGTCAATACAAACTCCTGAACCCTCCACCCTCCACCTCTTTTGTCGCTCCAGGCGCCAGGCCGCGCAGCAGGATGGTCGATGGGGCGAGAAGGGGTACAAGGCCGGGGTTGGAGACCTCAGGGCTTGGGCTAGGACTCAGGGCTTAGGGCTCAGGACCTAAAACTCAAAGCAGAGGGCGTAAGGCTCAGGGCTCAGAGCCTAGGGATCAGGGCTTAGGGCTCAGGGCTTAATTAGGGCTTAGGGGCACTTCCAAGGTTAGCTCCTGCTGTTGGTTTTTTTTTCATAGGCTAGTTTAGGCAAGTCCACCAACTCTCCTGCTTCGGGCTCAGTCAACATTGGTTTTTTTTTTAAGTTCTGGGCTTTACGTGTGAGGGTGTAAACGCTTTTTGGCAGGCTGTGATGGCGAAGATTTAGGGGGCTCAGCAGCCCATTTCCGCAGACCCTAACGCTTTGGATGCATATAAAGCCCTTCATCCAGCAGTTGAACTACAACATTTTGGAGAGTGGTGGTTCCTTTTGTTGTGCATTTTTTGTCCTTGGTTGTTGGAGAAGTAAGTCCCGGTACGAGAGCGCCAGGCTCGGCAGGGTTTAGGGCTCAGGGCCCTAGACCCTGGATTCCTCAACCTAACACCCAAAAGCCCCAAAGCCCTAACACAAACAAGCCCTGAGCTCGCAGGTGCGGGGGGGGGGAGGGGGGCCTCGTCATCTTTGCTGTTACTTACTGTTGGTTAGTAGGGAATGGGGGCGAAAAAGGTACCAGACATCCCCTATATATCCTTTAAGGGATGATATATGTGGTACCTTGTTCCCCCATTCCCTACGAACCAGCAGTAAGGTTTAGAGACCCTGCGTCTCGAAGACCCTGGCGTCCTTGTTCAGGTGTCCTGACGAAGTGAAAGGCAGTGACATACCGGTTGCAGAATTGGACGGGTTGTTCCAAGTAAAGGCTCTTGCAGGGTTTCGGGCATGTAGTGTGTTGGGTTTAGGGCACTTAGGTCCTTGACAGATACCTTGATCAGCCGGGTTCCTTAGAAATGGTTTAGAGAGAGGAGCCAATTTGGAACAACCCCTTAGAAGAAGCCTGCCTTCGGCGCGCGGGTCTCTTAGATCCGCTAGACTTCGTCCTGGGCATCAGGCGCGAGCAGCTCTGACCAACACGGGGAGTTGCTCCCTGAAGCCAGGCGCACGTGCTCGTTTGCGAAAACTGCTCCTTCAAACGAGCTGCATCGGGTCCCAAGAGACCCGAAACCCCGCAACATGGGACCTCGCGAGCCTTGACCCCCCTGGACCCCCTTGCCCTACCCAAAGGCTCCTATGTAGTACCTGTTTGGGGTAGTATACTAGAATCCCCTATAACTAACCCAAAAAGGAACTACATTGGAGCCTTTGGGTAAACTTCAGGCGAGGGTGGAGTAGCTGCCAGGCCACTAGAACGAGGTAGGAGCCCATCGCTTGGTCCAGGCAGCCGCATCGCCTGAAGCCTGGCTCCAGGTGAATACAAGTAGCCCTTAGACACATTTTGACAAACAGACCGTGGTTTGGAAGTCCTTATACCGGGTATGTATACCCCACATACGTATAAATACGATGGAAATCTTCATGGCTTCAGCGCTTCAGAGTTTGTAGGCTTACATGGATTGTTCGGCGCAGCTTCGGGTCAAAGGGCGAAATTTTCATGGAGATTAGTTTGAGATAGGCAGCCACCAGGAGTAGCACTCGTTCATACCGAAGAGCAACCCCCAGCAGAGCCTCCTGAAGGCTGAAGAGACTTCAGAGATTGCGCCCATAGGCTGATAAGAAAACTGCCGCGTCCCAACTTCTCTGTTGCAGCTCTCCCGCGCCATGTACGGAGGTTACGGAGGTGGAATGTATGGCCGCTCCATGTACGGCGGCTACGGGGGCATGGGGGGCATGGGGGGCATGTACGGCGGCTACGGCGGCATGTATGGCGGCGGGATGTACCCAGGAATGATGGGCATGGGCATGGGCAGCAGCTATGCAGAGAGCATGTTTCGCATGACCCAGATGCTGGAGATGAACAGCATCATGCTGGAGCAGCTTCAGGAGCATGTGACGGCCACCTTTTACCGGCTCCGAGATGTGGTGGAGTGGGTATGGGCCTTGAAGAACTCCGCCACGAAGGAGCTCGAACCCCCCGAGCCCTCGAAGCCGAAGGGAAGCGACCCCAAGGTGTCCGGGCCCTCTGAGGCCAACACTGCTCTAAGCAGCCTGAGCCCCTTCGAGTCCCAGGAGGAGAAGGACAAGGAGCTGGACAGGATCCGACGCAGACTCAAGGCCTTGCTCGTCCTCTTCGGCTTCTTCCTGTTCCTCATCTTCCGCGACAACCGGCGGCAACAGAGGCGGCTGCTGAAGGAAAGCCACTGGGTGCCGGGCGGCGGAGGCGTCGCGAATGCAGCTGCGACGATCTCGGCGGCGTTGCCAGCAGCTTTCGGCTGAAACAGAGTTCTGCAAAGCTTCGAACCCCCTCCCTACACTTGAATGCAGACCCTGTTTCTCCCACCCCAAGAAAGGAGCCCTGCAAGGGAGATTGGGTTCGACCCACAACTTCCTAAACCCTAAAGCCCACACTCAACAAAAAGCAGTGGAGCCCCGTGAGCTGTCTGGGGAGACCCAAGCAATCCTGAAGCACGGTAGCACGGCCTTTAGGGTTTAGGGCAAAGTTTAGGGTGTGGGTTTTAGGGTTGTAGGGTTTGGAGTTTGGAGCGCTTTTAGGGTGAGGGGTTTGGATCTTTAGGGTTTTTCCGGGTGTGGGGTTTAGGAGCCCAAATAGTTCGCCAGACTATCCCCACTTTGTAAGCCTTGGCGAACTACGTATACATAAGTCTATATATAGGGTTTGGGTTGCAGGGTTGAAAAGGTTCACAGGGTGTTTCGCTCATTGTTTTGTTGACAGGACCTACACGGGGGCTCATAGTTTATGGGGCTTGAATTCAGGATGCTGGGGTTGGCACGACCATCGACCAGAAAGCTAGAGGTTTCGGGCGTAGGGTTACCCTAAACCCTACACCCTAAACCCGAAACCCTAAACCCTAAACCCTCAACCCCAAACCCCAAACCCTCACCCCTCGCGATTACTGCGGCCATCGTGGCTCTCAGGCCCAGGGGAGTTTCGGGAGCCGGGGCGGCCGATGCTTTGGCCCGGGGCACGCGCGCCGAAGGTGGCTGCCATAAGGTTCCTCTTCTGCCCCCTTCAAGCACCATCACATAAGTCACCTCTATGGAGTTTAGGGTTTAGGGTTTAGGGTTTCGGGTTTAGGGTTGAGGGTTCGGTACAACCAAGAAACATCCGTTTTTTCTCTAAACTTTGGACACAGGCTTCCGAGAACGAAGAGAAGCCATGTCCACCTCGAAGATCGTCCCCGGCGGGCTCGAGACGGGGAACCGTGACGCGGCGGTGGGTTGAAGAATTTGGGGCGTTGAGGACTTAGGGGGGTCGGTCGACATGGTGTCGGGTGTATTGGGTGTACATGTACAGCTTTCCGGGTTCGGCGTTTTCAGTGTCCTGGGGCATTGAAAGTTTTAGGGTGTTTGGCTAGGGTTCAGGCTTTTACAAGGTACGCACACACTGTTTTTTTGTTTTTTTTTTTGGTGGGGGGGGGGGGGGGGGGGGTTACGGCTTAGAGCTTCTGCATGGTGTACGTAGTTGTCTTGAAAGAAAACACGGCCTTGGAGCTAGCTATGACTCGCGTGTGTCGGCTGCTTTTGCAGGTTGGGGTTTTGCGTTTTGGGGCGTCCACGGCGCGCAACATGCTTTCGCAGCAGTTGTAGGAACAACTGGCCCACAGAGAGGCAAAGCAAGCTAGGACGACTGGGTGGAGTTTATTCCTAGTCCTAGTCAGGGTTGAGGGTTGAGGGTTCGGGTCGGGGCATTGTTCCTCATTATGAGAAAATCCTGTCGTAGTCGTAGCGGTTTAGTCGTAGCGGGTTTTTAGAGGAAGATGAGTATAGGGGGGAGCCCAGTTTGGACAAACATGCCCAAAACGAGAAGAACGGCGACCATGTACTCTTAAACCGTAAACCCCAAACACCATAGCCCCATCCCGCAGACCCAAAACCCTAAACCCCAAACTCAAAACCCTAAACCCTAAACCCTGACTACACCCAAGCCCTACGTACCCGAGCTGAGCTGACTACACCCAAGCCCTACGTACCCGAGCTGAGGTGACAACAAAGCCTGGCGGGCGGCCATCGAGAAGGAGGCCGGCCCTAAGCTGCCTAGACCCTGAACCCTACAAAACTAGCAACTCCACACCTTCGCAAGTGACAAAGACACCAGCAGCCCTAAACCCTAAACCCTAAACCCTAAACCCTAATGTCAGGTGTTGCAGCGCGCGGTCCACAAGCCCGGGCTCATTGAGGGCGTGACGAGGGACATGAAGCAGCCGAGGGCCGAGAGTTCAGAGTTCAGGGCTGATGTTTCTGGGTTTAGGATTTAGGGTTTCGGGGTTTTAGGGGTTTAGGGTTCAGGGTTTAGGGCTTAGGGTTTTGGATTTCGGGTTTAGGGTTTAGGGTTTTCGGGGTTTGGGGGTTTGGGGTTTAAGGGTCTGCGGTTGAGAGTTCAGGGTTTATGGTTTAGGGTTCAGGGTTTCGGGCTTAAGGTAAATTAGGATGTAGCGTGTCGGGTTTAAGGTTTAGAGGGCCAAAGCTGCGATTTAGCGTTTGGGGTTTAAGGTTTAAAGCATCATGAACAGTTAATTAGCATCTAAGGCCTGCAGCTTAAGTTTCAAAGGGCTGCAGGCACCAGGTGCAGGCCTACAGATTTTGCGCCCTGGCGGCCTTGTGGGAGGTTTGGCGTGCGCTTCGGGGCTTCTAGGAGGAAGCCAAGATCTTCTACCCTAAACCCGAAACCCTAAACTCGAAACCCTAAACCCTAAATCCTAAACCCTAAATCCTAAACCCTAAATCCTAAACCCTTGTGAACTCATATTATCTTTGCAATTATCTTTGCAAGGTATGGCCACGGGGGATCTTAGGGCTCCGGGCTGCAACTGTGGCCCTTAAATTTTCACTGTAGTAGGGTGTAGGGCAGAGGGTTTAGGGGTTTGGGGGTTTGGAGTTTGGTTAAACACACCCGAGCCGGAGCCTTTGAGGAGTCCTTCTTTCGAGGGCTTCTATTCTAAGCAACGCCCGTGTCCGGGAGAGTCCAATTCTGTAACTGTAGCCATTGTTGTACCTTACCTTGAGCTGGCAACCTTAAGCCCGGAACCTTAAACCCTAAACCCTAAATCCTAAGCCTTATACCTAAACCCTAAACCCTAAACCCTGAGGCGGAACTTCGACATGTCCCCCTTCGGCAAGGAGGCAAGGGTCAAGCTCTTCCGCCCCCCAAACCTTCTAAACCCTCCAACTCATCAATGGCCAGCATCCCAGCAGGTCGACCACGGCCTGATCTATTGCACCTTGAGCGACCTGCTCTTGGCTCGGCTTGCTCTTGCCCATTTAGGGTTTACGTAGGGCTTTTGGGGCTTAGGGTCTAAGATCTAGGGTTCAGGGGATTGTTTGTTAAGTCTTGCGGGGTGGCTGAAAGGCGGATTTGGGATCTTGGGCTTGAAGACTTCAGAGCTTTCATTGGGATGTCTTCGGGGTTTCAGGTCTTGGAGGGTCCATAATATCAGGTAAGTTTCTGAAGGGATCGTAAATTCGCGAGCCCTACTACACTCTGGGGTTTACATGGAATTGGGCTCATGAATTCAATGCAGGGTCCGGGCCGAAAGGAGCTAATTAATCTGACAGCCGGGAGCCCCCTCTTGTGAAATCGCAGCGCCCATGGGTGTTGAGGTTGGGGGCTTCTCCTGCGAAATAGGAGAATCAGACGCCCTAAACCCTAAACCCTAAACCCTAAACCCTAAACCCTAAACCCTAAACGCAACTGCCATGAAACGCTGCCATGCGATACAGAAAGCCTGTCCACAGAATCAGCCCGAGCCTCCCGACGGAGCTGAAATTTGAAAAGGAAACACGAAGGAGCCCACTGAACCAAATGTTAGCGTAACCATAGATGGGGTTTACGATATTTGCGGGTACCTTGCTGGGGCCGTAATCTCAGGGGATCGGGGTCTTACTCTAAGGGGATCCGAGGGTCCCGAATGATCGTAAACCCCCATACATATGTGCTTGGTGCACGTCCATGTTGCCGTCCCAGTCGTTTGCAACGACACACACGGGAAAGGAGGTGACCCCTAGGCGTAAGGGTTCAGTGTTGAAGGTTCAGGGTTTCCATGGCGTCACATAGTGTAGGCACTCGTCGCGCCCTTGATCGCGCAGAAGTGGTACCCGAGCCAGGGACAGCTTGGGGCGGAGGGTCTGGTGTTTAGGGTCCCAAACCCGTTTTAGAACCCTAAACCTTAATCCTCAACCCCAAACCCTAAACTCCTAAACCCTATCTCCCCCCAAACCCGAACCCCAACCACCAAGCCCCCTTGCAACACCTAAATCCCAAACTCCCTGCACCGAGGCACCGGGAAAATGCTGGCATGGCCGGGGCCAAAGCACTCGGTTGGTATTCGGAATTCTCAGCCCTAAACCCCTCAACCCTAAACCTCTAGCCCCCCAGACGTTGAACTCAACAACTCAACCCTAAACTCCCTATAAACCCTAAACCCCCTAAAGCCCTAAACCCTAAACCCTAAGCCCTAAGACACAATGCCCCTGAACTTGGAGACCCTCGAAGCCCGGACCTGGTGTTTCGAATTTGCTGGCTCTTGGGGTCGAGAGTCTAGGGTTTAGGGTTTAGGGTTTAGGGTTTAGGGTTTAGGGTTTAGGGTTTAGGGTTTAGCTATACGACGCCCAGCAGTGCTAGGTTCCCTTCTGAATCCACATTAGACCTGTAGCAGCAGGCATGCCTGATCTAGTGTAGTACTAGTGGATTAGGATTCCATGTGCTCTACCCGATGACTTTGACCGTTAACAAGCAGTAGTGCGGGGATAGTTGCTCAGCAGAATTGCGCCTCGGGGAGTGTCCACATTGCGGAATCATGGGTTTAGGGTTTGGGGTTTAGGGTGTACGGTTTAGGGCATCGGGTGGCCATGCTCTATCTTAGAGAGGATTGTTGTGGACAGTGCCGAAAACGTCAGCGTCTTCCAGGCGTGAGTCTTGAGCTTTCACTCATAGTGAACGACGTGCAGCCGTTCACATCGGGGTTTAACGTGTTTCGAGGTTGATTCTAGCCAGGGATGTGTGTGTTCATTGTATTTCTCTCTAGGAGCATCCTTCGTGAGGTGATGTGTATTCTGGCGGACTGAGGTGAGTTAAAATCCGCTCCTCATAGATGTTTACTGGTTATTCAGAAGGGGTCACCAAACCTCATTCCTGGCCAAGAACCACGAAGTCCTGCCCAGGCACGGAGTAGCAGCAGCGCGGTAGCGAAGCAGCCGCCAGCGTCTGGCGCTCAGGTTCAAAGCCGAAGCCCCCAACCCTCCTCCTCTTTGAGAGTTTC